GAAGATATGAAATCTGTACTAAAAAAAAAGTTTATTGGTAGTTTATAATAAAAATGTGTAAAATTTCCATTTACAAAACATTTGTCACTAGCAACAATAATGGCAGAAAATTCACCCCATATTAGCACTTCCTAGCGGTTATGTTCTGGAATCATTTTCTATGCCGTTCTTTATTTAGTACCACTGACTGCGTATAGAGAGGCTCTGACTAGGCAGGGTGAGCAGATCTATGCAGATATTTTTTTCACTTCTGTCTCTGTGCTATAAACTTATTAAATTTCCCACATTTGACTTGGACAAATTGTAAAAAAATTATTAAAAACATTAAAAAACACTGGCCCCAAGCACCACTTAACAAGTCTGTGCAGCATCTAGAACCAGAACTAACAGGGAATGTGCATCTATTGAAAAAATTATGAGTTCTACGTCCAAAGAAAAGAAAACGGTTTCCATGGTGACTGACAGGTGATTCCCAGAGAGATCTAGGAAGTTTCTCCAAGTTTTCCTTTCTTTTTTCCATAAAGAGGTGAGAGAGAAACGCTGCGCTGACCTGCTCTGTCTGCCCCTCATTAATTTGTTTTTTCTGTGAGGCTCAAAGAGGATCACTACTTTATCCGTTTTCTGTCCTCCTGAACTCCTATCATGGGGAAAGTTTTCTATTTTAATGTTTAATTTGTTGTTTTTGCTCCAGTCTGTCCTCACTGGAAAAAATCCAAATCTAGATGAGTGCATTTGTTCTTGGATTAAGGAGGTAAGAAACATTTTGCCAATGAAACGAGATAATTTACACTTAAAATAAGAAAACACAATTGAATTGTCTCATTTTAAGTGTATATTATCTGATTATCTTATTTTAAGAGGAATAATACTCATTCTATTGGCAAACTGTCTCATTTATCTGTTTAAATTAAGGATAAATACATTAATTTAAGATATTTCTACTTATTACAGTGCTGCTTATTATACATGCGATGTATGACTCCAAACTGACTCTTTCCCCGTGCGATCCCAATTGGCTTTTAAATGAGCGCTAAACGCCACATCCTAATCGGTGCGATTTTCTGTTGGATCGTAGGGAAATCGGATTCGGTGGGTTGTGGCTTTGAGCCTTTTAGAGCCATGCCATTTGATTGGTCAGAAACGCTGATGAACTGCAGCAATTCAAGGGTTTGGAAACTTTAACCCTGTAATGTCTGAATTGTTCTCCTGCGTTTCCTTCCCTGCAGCGTTCCAGCATTCCTCCTCCTCCTCCCCCCAGCAGTGTGTACCGTCCCCCGCCTCGGTGATGCCTCGGCTCTCCCAGTTTGTCCCAGCTTTGCACTACTCTCTGGTTAAAGCCAGGGCCAACCCGCCTCTAAAACTCTCTGCTGGCGTGGAGCTGCAGACGCAGGAATACCTGAGCGGCGTGACCCACGGCAGCGTATGCACCACCGCCTCTACAAACTCTCTTCATTTGGTTTCACGTGTCTCTCTATGTCACACACGGTTGGGTTGCGTGTCTGCAGGTCCAGCGGTTCCCCATGGCTGAGTATGACTCTGTTCTGGATGACGAGCCCAAACCATGCCCCCCTCATCTGCGGGCCAACTCAGATGGCTACCTGCGCTCCTACATGTCCAACCCCAGCGTATACCTGCTGTCGGTGGCCATTGCCAGGCAATTGGTGGAGACGCACTGCGGCCCCGAGCAGACGCTGGACAAAGCGTCCAGGAAGGAGGACGGCCTGAGGGAGCCAGAAGGACCCAAAACTCAGAAGGTAACATCTGAAATGGCCGTCATCAAAATCCACCCAGGTGTGTAAACATCACAGCCCTATCAGCTCCTGCATCGTTTCCTGCGTTCAATCACCCCACAGATGCAGCAGCTGCTGGACCAGATTTTGACCTTTAAGACCAACGCAGAGGCGGAGGTGAGGAGGGAGGAGGAGGATGTGATCAAGGTACCAGAGAGGAAGAGGAAGCTGGAGCAGAAGATGGCAGAGAGAACGCTGAAATACTTCAAGGCGTCCGTGGAAACAGGAAAGCCAGACAGGATTCCAGGTGAGCCCAACTTCTCCAGAGTCGGAACATTTAACACCAGAACTCCCGAAGCCGTCACTTTAACGGTTCTGAGATTTTCTCCCACAGCCGTCATTTTGGCGCCTCTATTAGTTGCACTGTAAATTATTGCTACAGTTGATTGACGTTCTGTACCGTTGCCTAGCAACCAACATTGTATCTAGCACAGGGTTCCCGCGGGTCCTTGAAAAGTCTTAAAAGGCATTGAATTCTTCAAAATAAAACTAAGGCCTTAACTGGTATTAAAATGTCTTAAATCGGTCTTTCTTAGGTCTTAATTTTTAAAACATCATAAATAGGATTATTTTTATTACGATTTATTTTTGTAATCTAAATAAAACGTTAAAATTGACAAATGTTTTTTCCTTTTTCAAAAAAAAAAAAATAACGGCTCGCCATTATTGGTTTCGTCCCGATAGCGGAACCAATAAAGCGTTGTTGCGGCCGGGACATTTGGGAGATGCACCATTAACTTTTTGTCTGGAAAATATGAGCAAGTGTAAATGTATGAAAAATGGCTCCAGCCAAGAGTTTTCTCCATGGCTAAAACCAGGGAACATACATGAGGCTCAGAGTATTTTGTGCAAGAAGCGATTCAAGCTGGGAACGATGGGAATTAAGGCAGTGGAGTCGCACATGCGAAGCACGAAACACAAAGCGTCAAAATGGAGTTAGAGAGAAACAGCCGGTATTTCTCAGTTTAGTTCCACTCTTGTCTCTGCAACGCCTCCACTTATCACCAAATCAAACATACTAAGAAAACCATACAAAGAAAAATAGCTGCAAAAAGACTTAGCACTGGTTATGTTGGGGCTTTAAAACTGATTAGTTTTGTTCCCTGCTAAAACAAAGTTTGTGAATTCAGTTAAATAATTGTTAAAATATATCTGTCATTTGTGTGTTTTTAGCTTTCTTCAATATTTGAAACATTAGTGCAGTGGTTTATGTTATAATAAACCTTTGGGTTAAGTTGTAGCAATCAAGTTTTTCTTGTGTTTATTGTGAATTTGGTCTTAAATTTTTATTTCAAGTGGCATTAAAAAGTCTTAAAAAGTCTTGAATTTAACTTGCTTTATGCTGTAGGAACCCTGTAGAACTCTTTGGCTAATACGGGAGGAAATGGCTCTCAAAAAAAAATCAAACAGTGAAACAGGCTTTAGAAATGCTTCAACATGTGAGAGCGATTATGGCGGAGAGGGAGAGACCGATGAGGAGGACTGGGGAGGAAGCGGCTCAGACTCTGACAGCGAGTCCGAGGATGATCGCAAACCACAGGAAAACGCAGACGCATCAGGGACCCATCTACGGTGGCCGGGAGGTGCAAACCAACATTACCAAATCTAAAACACTTTTACAAGTTCCAACACAAATTAACATTTCAGAAAACAAATTTACATTTTAAACTTTTATTCAAGGTTTGGATGGCACTTAGACGACCCCCATTCCAAAGGGGGGACCCGTTCATCCGTTTCTATTTGCATGTTTTCTAAACTAAAACAAGGCTTTGTTAAGCTGCTGGATAAAACCTGGAACTAAACGCTATTTCTGACATTTTGAATTGAAAAAGCTTCCTGGATGGAAGAGAAACGTTTTTAAACTTGGAAACAAAGTCCAGGGGATTGATTTTTAACTTTTTCGGTTGGACTATGACCTGGATGACTGAGAATCTTCTTTTGATCCACAAACAAGGACCTAAAACTCTTTAAAAAAAATCTGAATTGAGCTCGCAGAGGGGGTCCATCATGCAATCACCACAAGCAGTGCAATTCTAGAATTTAATTTCAAATGCATAAAAATGAGGCGCAATCAGAATGTCATGGATGAAGATGTTAGTTTACCCAAACAGGAGGAACTTCTGCAGATACCAGAGTTGTATTTCCTGATCAGTGCCTTTGCAAAGCCGACAGATGTTAACCTTTTATTATTCCCTCCTTTTTTTTACCATTTTCTTCTGCTTTTATAATGGAAGAAAAATAATCTAATATAAATCTAGAACAGGAGGATTTTTTTATTTAGCGAGTTCATTTGGCTGATTATAGTCAGATCTTTTTATAATCCTTTCTCTGCTATAAGTTTGGTTTTATGTGCATTATCACACTATTCTGCACAAAAAAAGTCCTTTCTGGAACCAAAATAAGCACACAGAGGAGATGTTCAAGCACAGAGCTCATTTTAAAGCTTCTGGGCATTTTAGGTTTGAGGCTCCAGGATAATTTATGAACCACTTTGATTTATTTATTATTTATTTCAATTAATTCAACTTTAAGTGAGTTTTAGACGGTAGCTATCTATAATCCAGAAGGTTTAGGGCTGATTACAGAGCCCTGAGGTTAACATTTATCATCCTTACCTGTTGGAATAAAAGTTCTTAAAATGAGAAGCATTAGATGCAGAAGGTAAAAAAAAAAAACTGTGCGTTATCTCCTGTCATTTTTATTATTTTTTGTTTTTTTACAGCATTTCTAAATCCTCTCAGATTTCCTGTTTTATGATTATTCTCAGGCTGATGTTTTCTGTCTGCTTTTGTTTCTAGTTGGAGGAAACAAAATCTCAGGATCTCCTCTTTCCTTCGCATCTATAATTACCTCGCTGGGTCTGAAGGATGTCGATCTTAGGGAGGAGGGATCCGAAGTAACAGGCAAATTTCTCCATCAGCTTAAAGGTGACAGAACCGTTCCTCTCTGGTCTTTATTCCTGCACCGTCCTGTTGACAGCTTCCGCATTTAATAACGGCTGTTACCGCTTCTCCTCTGCAGCCCTGGTTCATTCTGCCAGTCGGAGCCCCTCCGAGGAGCCGGACGAAGGGCTGAAGGAGTCGAGTCCGTTTGGTCGCTTGGCCGTGAAGCTGGGCCTCCCCGCTAACTGTGATGTGGACCTGAGGAAGCAGGAGGAGCTGGAGGTAAAACCAGATGGTTCACATGTTTAGGAATAATAAGACACGTTAGGATATGTTGAAGATCTCTGATGGAAATGTGACTATGAAGGCTGTTAATTAAAGTCGTAGGGAAATCCTATTTAAATGTTCTCTTTATCGTTATCTCATTCAGGCCAATTAGTCGGTCATCTGTCGATCAAATGTTTTCGGTCATAGCATCTTGATTCATATGCTGTAAGCCGTACATGTTTGTAAGGCTTACAGCCGTTCCACAGAGGCTTCAACTGATTCAGTCCAAATCTGCTTGACTTATAGTCACGATGTGGATCTATAAAGTCTGAGGATTTATCCAGAGTTTCAAATCAGCTTTCATGGTGTTTTTCAGTGTTTAATTTGGAAACAAATTTGGCGAGGCTAAATTTTTTTTCTTTGTTTAATCACCTTTAAATCAGACATGTTAACATTTAAAATAATGGTTCCACCTGAAAAATATAGAAAACGTAAAGGATAATTAGCTGGTGCAATAACAACGTTTTTATGAATAATTTTTTTATGAAATACTTGGAGCAGTGAGGATGTTGAAGCTCCACTAAGATGCTTCTTCAGCTGCGTGTTTATGTTTTGTCCTGCAGCCCAGCTGAATCTCCATGCAAAAATAAACATCTGACTGTTTTCTGCCTTCATTTGATTAGTGCTTCAGTTTCTGCAGCAGCAAGAAGATGTTTCTCTTATCTTTTTTTTTTTAAACAAACTGGCAGCTGCAGAAATCTCCAATAATCTCTGTGGCGTGTCTGTCTGCGTGTCCATAGGAGCAGACAGCAGGCAGCGTCAGCAGTTTGGAGGGATTCAGTCCCGGCTCGCACAGCGGGGAGCAGAATCACCACGCTGGACGAGGAGCGAAGCTCGGGACGAAGGCGGCGGCGGCTCACGACGAGCAGGAGGAGGAAGACTGGGATATCCCATGGGTCCTTATTCCCATAACAGGTCGGTCTGCTCACCCAAACACTTCCACACCTGCTGCAGACAGACACTTCAGTCCATCAGGGATTTCTCCTTAGACTCTAAAACGAATCATTTCCTCCTGATTAATCGGCTTCCTAGACGCTGGGCATGGAAACTATTCACCGTTTTATACTTTTACACTTTAGTTTTTAATCTGACCTTTCAGATCCTTAAAGGGACCTTTTTTTTTTTTTACGTATGATTCCATTTTATTTCTTCCTTAGCTGCAAGGAGAGATAAAATACGAAGTAAATACAGGGTGAGGGTCGCCAATATCGATATGATACCGATACTTTTTACAATTAAACTCGATTTGTTATGAAACTGTAGAGCTTTTTCTTGTTTTTGTTATTTTTATTTTATTGTTACAATTGAGTAACAGTAATATTAATTATGTTTTCTTAATCCACCCTTTTATATAATATGTTTCAAACTTTATGTGATTTGTTTCTATTGTGTGCACTTGCCTGTTGCTTTAATTCTATAAATGTACACATTGTGGGATAAATAAAGGATTAGTTAATAGGAGTGAAGAAAAAAAAAATCGATTTGAGCTCAAATTGCATTTCTAACATTTAAAGATTCAGAATCGATTCTCGTTTTCTTTAAAAACGATTTTTTTTGTGGGTGCGGATGTGCCTTATCAGGCACCGTAGTGTTTGGCGGAACCAATGAGCAGCGTGAGCTTTGCACAGGCATGCAAGCGTTAGCCTAGCAGGCTACACAGTAGTGGGAAGTGTAGTGTTGTGTTTTGTGAGCTACTGTGTTTGTTGCCGCTAAAGTATGGAGGACGAAGAAAAAGAAATTCAACCGCCTCCGCGATCTTTAAAAGCAACCATTTGGAAACACTTTGGATTTTACCTTCAACCCGGTAAGAATGGGCTTGACATGACTCATGCGATTTGCAGAGATTGCAACGGTAAAGTGAAATATTTCGGGAGTACTTCAAATCCACGCTCTCATCACGAAAGACATCACCCAGAGTTCGTTTTGAATCCTAAATTAATTGTTTCTGAATCGAATCGTTTGGATTTAAAAGAATCGGAAAAAAATCGAATTCTGAGCCCAAGTCAGGGGGGGGAAATCAATGGTTGTGGATGATGATGCGGAGAGTGGTATCTATGTTTAACCATCTTGAAAAGATTGTTTTTAAGGTGGGGAAAGATCGCTAGATGCGCCACCATCCATGTTTACTTCCGTATACACAGAGCACGCCGGCCTGTGACATCATTGCGTCCTCTACTGCGCATGCGGGACACTTACGTTGTACGAATGAAGTTCACACAGGAGATAACATACATGTCGCATATATTTAGAAATGTGAACGACAAAGCAAAAAAATGTATTTTGGATTTTACCAAAAAATCAGAATTGAGCATCAAGGCGTGCAGCCATAGATAAAATGCAGGGTTCGTACGGGTGCTGGAAATCCTTGAAAATGCTTGAAATTGTAACTATTTATTTTAGAACAAATCCCTATCTAACTGAATCGTGTGTTTATTAAATGGAGAAATAAAACGTTGGAGAGCCCGAAAATGAAACCTGCTCGCTTATGTGTGACTGCGATCTGCCAGTCTATTTGCATGTGTGACTCCGCCCCCATGAAACCACTACGGCACCATGCCGGGAGGTTGTCGTTTCAATGAACGTTGGCTGGAAGATAAAAAAAATACAAATTATGGATTAAATGGGGACAAACCCCACGAGTTGCCTCTTGTAAAGTCTGCAAAAAAGATGTCCAGCTTTTCACAATGGGCGAGTCTGCGCTGTTGAGTCACATGAAGGGTAAGTCATAGACTTTTAAGTACCGTATTTTCACGACCATAAGGCGCACCGTACTAAAAGGCGCAGTCTCAGTTATGTGTCCCATTTCTGTATTTAACACACACATAAGGCGCACCGTACTAAAAGGCGCAGTCTCAGTTATGTGTCCCATTTCTGTATTTAACACACACA